AAAAAAAAAAAAGGCGGGCATGGTGGTGGGCGCCTGTAATTCCAGCTATTTGGGAGGCTGAGGCAGGAGAAGCACTTAAACCTGGGAGGCGGAGGTTGCAGTGAGTCAAGATTGTGCCATTGCACCCCAGCCTGGGTGACAAGAGTGAGACTCTGCCTCCAAAAAAAAAAAAAAAAGGAAAGAAAAGAAAAGCACAGAGGGTGTGATGAAGTCTGAATTCTGCTTTTGCTAGAAGGGCATGTTGGTCTGGTGCCTAGGCTGATGGAACACGGTGAGTCCTGGGGTTAGGACCAAACAGCTGTCCCTCGTGCTGTGAATTGCTCCAAAGCACTGGGGCCTGCAAAAGCAAAAGTGATCCCAAGATGCCCTTAGCAATGTTCTTTCTGTGACCCAGCGATGCCCTTCTGGGAATTTATCTGAAGGGAAGAGGCAGATAAATGCACAGTAATAGACACAGAGCAGTGTTCATCAACAATATATTAGATGAGAAAAGCAAACTACTTAACATGGTGTGTTAGCCTATCATTGTAAAAGCACATAGAACTACTTACATGAGCATAGGCATGTATAGAGGCCGCTGTGTGGTAAATTAGAAGTGATTTTCACATGGTTATTTGAATGCTTTTTAGGCCTATATTAACCTTTATACCTGGTGGGTGAAACCCTTCCCCATTTGAAGGAGAGAGATTTTAAGCAAGTAACATTTTATTTAGTGCAGCACAGCAGGGGTTGGAATATGTAGAGCTCTGACCTATCCTCAGTGCTGAGTACCTGGGTCTGGGGGGGGCCTTCTGGCTCCTGGCCTTCACACCTCACATTACTTATTCTCTGCAGACTGCAATAAGGTCACTGATCAGTGCCTGTCCTTCTTCAAACGCTGTGGAAACATCTGTCACATTGACCTGAGGTACTGCAAGCAAGTCACCAAGGAAGGCTGTGAGCAGTTCATAGCCGAGATGTCTGTGAGTGTCCAGTTTGGGCAAGTAGAAGAAAAACTCCTGCAAAAACTGAGTTAGTCCAAGGACAAGAATGTAAATACGGGGTGGGCTCTGGGAGGGGAAGAGACTTTACAAAAATGAGGGCTTTTATTTTCCATTTGGAACGTGGGACAACAGACCACAATGCAATTCCATTTTGCAAGTCTTTCCAAGGGAGAAGCTGTTCAACCACCCATTTGGGGGATGAGTGAGGCGACACTTTCCTTTGGTCTTTCTAAATCGTAACTGCACTGCTTTCTGGACCATTTCTAAGGCGGCCTTTACAAGAAGACATTCCTGTCAGAGAGGAGGGTGGACTTTGGAGAAATTCTCATACTGAAGCATGAGCTTAGGAGTTTCTGTTAGTGGTAGTGGTGTTTTGGACACTTCATTCCTTGCAACACTGAGGTTTTGGGTGTTGACGTAAAGTGGACCACACACCACATCTGCTGCCGTCTTGACACTTTTTTTTGTTTGGTTGGTTTTGTTACATCCTACATTATGCAGAACTATTTTTGTACAAATTGTTTAAAAGTTATTTATGCAAGGTTGAATGCATACCAGTGTTTTTATTGTTTTGAGATTGCCAATTTTCCTGATTTCCTTAAGGTAGGAGAGAATTTAACGTGTACTTCATCGACACAACCCATCTACAAATGTGCCCAGATCTAACAAAGCAGGCTAAGACCTTCCACTTAAAAGCATGTTTAACTGGAAGTTGAGAGCCTGCTTTGTACCTCAAGAGTTACATGAGCATGTTGTGGATAAATGTAAATTATAGTTGAAGTAAGATACTCTGCCAGGTTTCCTCTGTAGAGAATTCACTTTTCTCAAATTTTAAAATTTCGACTTCAGCCTTTGCACTCAGGAGGGTCTGCTCCAGCATGAGCTCTTGTACTTACATAGATCTAATTTATACAGTGAGTCAAGACGTAGAATAAATGCTCCCACATAGCCTTTCTTTTGCTTTTTTCTCTCCTCTGAAGTGTGACTTGAGTTCTCATTTAGGTTTGTAACATGGCTATTTCCTAGTTGTAAAGTTCTGCATTTATAAGTGCCATTGTTGTAAGGTGGTGTTTCCTAGACCTTCCCTGATGCGATTTTACCTTTGTTGAATTTGTATAAACAATTGTACAAAAAAAAACCACTCTTGAACTTTGAGGGTTTTTGTTCTAGGAGTGGACTAGAAGTTTAAGCCCAGAGTCAGTAAACACTGTTTTGAGGCCCAAACAATGTAATTTCTGATTCATCTGATGTACCCTGTGGTGCGTCATTTTTCTTTCTTCTTCAGAAAGAAATCCGTTTCTGGCTAATAAAGGTATGCTCTGACAACGGCTGCACGTAGGAATTAGACACAGACTTCTTTAAGGAGAAGAGTTGCTCATCTGTCTGTGTGCCTCTTACCACACAGAATTACTTCCATGGCTACTTGCCATTACTGTTGCCTAAAAGTTCCCCAGATTTGGGAGACAGTGGGAGCAACTGCAGGAGGCTGCATCCTGTACAGGTAGCCTTGGGCCATGATGGCTGTAGGAAACACTTGGTCATGAGGTGGCTTCCCCAAGTGGCAGATGTAGAAACCAGTGAGAAGTAATTTTAGATTACAGAATTTTTTTTTAAAGACAGGACCCTGCTGGCAGTGTCATATTCACATACAGAAACAGCTGCTGTAGTGAATCTGAAGATGGAGAAGGTAGCCAACCTCCTTCCTCAGTGATGAGAGCAAGCAATGTAAGACGTTGTTCCTGTGGAAGAAGCCTTTCCTGCTGATGGCTGAGTTTTCTGTTTGTCCCTTTTATTTTTACCATGGCAAAACAGTTTTAATTACAACGAGACAGGCCAGGTGAAGTGGATCCAGCACCTTGGGAGGGATCACCTGTGGTCAGGAGTTCAAGACCAGCCTGACCAATATGGTGAAACCCCCATCTCTACTAAAAATACAAAAATTAGCCAGGAGTGGTGCCGGGCGCCTGTAGTCCCAGCTACTTGGGAGGCTGAGGCAGGAGAATCACTTGAACCTGGGAGGCAGATGTTGCAGTTGCAGTGAGCTGAGATTGCACCATTATACTCCAGCCTGGAGACAGGGAGACTCCATCTCAAAACAAAAAGAGAAAGATCTCATCTAGATACATGTCTCCTGTTAATTTAAATCCACAGACTCTTGATGACTCAATCTAAAGACACTTGAAGCCACTGTCCCTAAGGGTTCCTGGAGCATACAGGTCTGCTAGGGAGGGGCTGCCAGGGCTGAGGATCCGAGCCACCACAGGGATGTGCAATACAGGAGAGAGACAGTGGATCTCCAGTTTCAGGAGAGGCCACTGTATAGTGCAGTGGCCATAAACTCCCCCCAAGAGTACTGAACAATCCAGTAAGATTGTACTTCAGTACAAATCCACGGTGTCCGTACAGACCTTTTTATTTTATTATTTTATTTTTTTTATTTTGAGATGGAATCTCGCTCTCGTCCAGGCTGGAGTGCAGTGGTGTGATCTCAGCTCACTGCAACCTCTGCCTCCCAGGTTCAAGCAATTCTCCTGCCTTGGCCTCCCGAGTAGCTGGGAATACAGGCGCCTGCCACCATGCCCAGTTAATTTTTGTTATTTTTAGTAAGAGATGGGGTTTCACCCACCATGTTGGCCAGGCTGGTCTCGAACTCCTGACTTAAGGTGATCTGCTGGTCTCAGCCTCCCAAAGTGCTGGGATTGTAGGGGTGAGCCACCATCCCCAGCCCCTTTTATTTATTTATTTTTATATTTTGAGGCGAAGTCTCACTCTGTCACCCAGGCTGGAGTGCAGTGGCACAATCTTGGCTCACTGCACGTTCTCCCTCCTAGGTTCACGCCATTCTCCTGCCTCAGCCTCCCAAGTAGCTGGGACTACAGGCGCCCGCCACCATGCCCAGCTAATTTTTTGTATTTTTAGTAGAGACGGAGTTTCACTGTGTTAGTCACGATGGTCTCGATCTCCTGACCTCGTGATCCACTCGCCTCAGCCTCCCAAAGTGATGGGATTATAGGCATAAGCCACCGCGCCCGGTTAAAGCCCCTTTTATTTTTAAAATGAGCCAAAGATGAGGCCAGCTGAGGCTAAATGCCACAAGCAACTACTCTGAGCCTACATGTCATGTCCGATGAAGTAATGAAAGGACCATAAATCCAAGGGAATGCTTGCTGTGTCAAATCACAACTTAGTAACCTAGAAAAGAGGCTCTGTCCCTTCCTCTAGGGAATCTGATGTTTACAAAGGAAGACACCATGGCACCTCAGATGACATCCTTTCATATTGTGAAGACGGGATCAAGAGACTTCACTGTATTCCACTGCAAACTTATCCATATGACATGACCTATTCAAAAAATTTACTTAAAGCAGCATGAGCTGGGCGCAGTGGCTCATACCTGTAACCCCAGCACTTTGAGAGGCCGAGGCAGGCAGATCACCCGCGGTCAGGAGTTCAAGACCAGCCTGACCAACATGGTAAAACCCTATCTCTATTAAAAATAAAAAATTAGCTGGGAGTGGTAGTATGCACCCGTGATCCCAGCTACTCAGGAGGAAAAGGCAGGAGAATCACTTGAACCTGGGAAGTGGAGGTTGCAGTAAGCCAAGATTGTGCCATTGAACTTCAGCCTGGGCAACAGAGCAAGACTCTGACTGAAAAAAAAAAAATTGTTTAAAATTATCCAGGCATGGTGGTGCGCATCATATGCCAGCTGCTGGGGAGGCTAAGGCGGGAGGATTGCTTGAGCCCAGAAGTTAAGACTATAGTGAGGTGTGATCATGCCACTGTACTCTGCCTGGGTGGGCAACAGTAAGACTCTGTCTTTATTTAAAAAAAAAAAAAAAAAAAAGGCCAGGCACGGTGGCTAAAGCCTTTAATCCCAGCATTTTGGGAGGCCGAGACGGGCGGATCACGAGGTCAGGAGATCGAGACCATCCTGGCTAACACGGTGAAACCCCGTCTCTACTAAAAATACAAAAAACTAGCCGGGCGAGGTGGCGGGCGCCTGTAGTCCCAGCTACACGGGAGGCTGAGGCAGGAGAATGGCGTGAACCCGGGAGGCGGAGCTTGCAGTGAGCTGAGATCCGGCCACTGCACTCCAGCCTGGGCGACAGAGTGAGACTCCGTCTCAAAAAAAACAGAAAACAAAAAAAAAAAGGTGAGGCGGGTAGAAAGGCATGCCAGTTTACAAATCCAAATTCCAGAGGGAAATGCTCGCCCTCTGCCAAACAAGCCAATTTCCAAGTATCAAGCCTGTTACACTAAACATTTCTGATGTCTGGCTAATAAACCAGGGTTACTTCAAACTACTATCTAAAAAATCCACCAAGCATTTTGTACTCTCTATGAAGAAGCCACTAAAACGTAATACACAAATCTAAGAGTAAACATTAAACTGTTTTAAGCTAAGACTATGTATAAATCTGAATTTTTGAATTTAAGTTTAGACAAAACCAGCACATACTGGTTAGCTTCTATGGCCTGGATTTAAAGACGCCACCAAGTTACCAATTTGGAGGAAATGTTAAAATTTCCAGAGTCTCGTGAAAAGTTTAGACAAAAAGCACAAGTGCCACAAAGCTCTGGTAACTTATGCTGCTTCTATAGGGAAGCCATGACCTGCTGAAGCCAGTTACTACTCATTATGGTTGAAGACAAGTGGGAGGCCTTGATTTACATGCTTTGATCTTCAAAAGCAGAAAAATTTTTTCTTTACAACTAGCCACACAAACTTCCTGCCCAAAGCACAGGGGCATCTGCCTCTTGGCGTTCACAGGTATTTTCAGGTCTGTTGATTGACTACTAGATTCTGAGCACCCAAGGCCATGTGTGTTACTCACTGCAGAGTCAGGAGATACACAGACTCTGAGAAATGGCCACTCCCAACTGCACTGAATTCACCATTGGTCTCAGCTCAACCATCCTGAGTCGAGTCAAGTTGGACCTAAAAGAGATTTCAGAACATTTTTGCATAATATCTCAAGTTCCTCTTTTTCTTTTCTTTTTTTTTTTTTTTGAGATGGCATTTCGCTCTTGTTGCCCAGCCTGGAGTGCAATGGCATGATCTTGGCTCACTGCAACCTCCGCCTTCCGGTTTCAAGCGATTATCCTGCCTCAGCCTCCCGAGTAGTTGGGATTACCCTGCCACCATGCCTGGCTAATTTTCATATTTTTAGTGCAGACAGTTTCACCATGTTGGCCAGGCTGGTCTTGGAACTCCTGACCTCATGATCCACCTGCCTCAGCCTCCCAAAGTGCCAGGATTACAGGCATGAGCCACCACACCTGGCCCAAGTTTCTTATTTCTTATGTGGTACTGGAAGGGTTAAGAGTAACTCTGGCATCAGAGCTAGTTTCAAATTCTGCATAGCCACTTTCTAACCATGAGGTTTTAGACAAGTCTAACTTCTCTGAGGTTGGGTTCCCCATCTGAGAAGCAAGGCAATGTTTATTTCAGAAGGTTTCTTTCAGGACTGCAGAGGCAACTACAGCACCTAGCATAATACCTGGACACAAGAAAAAGCACATCAGCAGTTAACCTTAGTGATAGGCAAGCAGGAAATGTAAGCACTGTTGCTCACGTGGCATTGTTCTTTTTTCTTTCTTTGTTTTCAGACAAGGTCTGGCTCTGTTACCCAGGCTGGATTTCAGTGGTGTGATCTTGGCTCACTGCAACTTCCACACCCAAGGCTCAAGCCATCCTCCCACCTTAGCCTCCCGAGTAGCTGGGGCTACCACGCCTGGCTAATTTTTTCATATTTTTTCCAAAGACGGGGTTTTGCCATATTGTCCAAGCTAGTCTTGAACTCGTGAGCTCAAGCATTCCTCCAGCCTCAACCTCACAAGGTATGAGCCACTGCACCCCATGTGACATCTTTGAAGGTGCTCCCACCATCTCTTCTGAGAGGGGTGCTAGGCCAGGGCGCAGATACCCATTCATACTGTATGCTTCTGATTTAGGAACTGACCAAGACAATGTAAACAAAAGCTTTTAAAACTAATTTTATTCCTAAAGTTAAAATCAGCTAGCGGGTAGCACTGAAAATACACCTTCACTATACAAAACAGTGTAAACTGATTACACATTGATAAGGAATTTAGCACACACTTCTAATAAAAGAAGCTAGATGCAGCCCTTGCTATAAAAAGCTATACCTGAACAAAAATGGACATGTGGAGTCTAAGGCCCTGGCAGTCGACTAGAGAATGTCAGTTGTTCCCAATTA